CTATATAAATTAAGACACTAGGTGAGTATACATTTTCTCAAGCAACTTTATTATACACTGCTATACCCTTATTTAAATTATGCAGTTGTAGTGTGGGGAAATACTTATCCATCAAGTCTAAACAAGTTCAGTTCTCTTCTCTTCAGAAGGTTAACGCAGACATTGTTTAGTGTGAAAAGATTTAGCGATAGGTGTCATATTCTTTTCATATCCCAAAGGCCTTCCGTAGTGTGTTTTCGCCGGCTTTCGTCAAGGATCTTTTTTACATCACTTCTTGCACCACCCAACGTTTCTCGAAACGTTGAGAAATAAGAAGCTTTTTAAAATGATCTAAACGAGAGGAGTCACCCTGGGTAGAATCTTCGAGAAAGCCCGGTCCAAAATAATGCAAGTTGGAGTTTTCCTTTCCTCTAGCTTTCTTTGCCCACTTATCCTTTCCTATGTTTTTCCCAATAAATTATTGGATCTCGTTTTGTCAAATGTAAAAATTTGCGCCTACGGTGATGTACATGCGTGACATTTTTCGGACCCTGCATGTACGAGTATGTGATCCGTTTGAGGGTCACAGATTTAGTGTAAATATTCGACCCCTCAACACATTACATTCTCGTCCACGTTATGTCTCTAGTTTACAGAGGTCTTAGAACGCTTCATTGCATGGATTTGCCTTCTGCGGCCAGAAGGCTAAAAGCGATTTTCTCAGGCGTAATTGCTTTTGATTTCCCAATTTATGTCGTCGTAAACACAGTTTTTGGGAGTCACGAAACAAAAAATATCATCGGGACCTAATTTCATGGTCTAATGGCACTAAAAAGCAAATAAAAACATATTCTCTTGAGAAATAAAGTTATAAATGACAGGGGATCTTTGAAACAAATAGTGATAGAACAGGTTTCAGTTCTGATCAATATTGACTTTTAATAGCCTACTTCCAAATCTGAGGGAACGCGCTGAGGGAATTATAAAACATACACTTGTGATAATGCAAGAGAGAGAATAAATATACAAATAAAGAAAAAGGAAAATACATGCGAACCTGTGTTGCAACGTGCAGATATCTTTCGAGCAAGACCACACACCAAGGCCCGCGACACTACGCACAGAAACTCGAAAGGATGCTTTATACCAGCTAGCTCGCACGTGCACGCAGGAAAGGCCATGACAATCAGCGAAAATAATAGCAAATGCAGACGATATTTTCTGTTAAAAAACAGGCAAATAAAATAACAGAAGGATTAAGAACTTTCTAGAAGTGTTTTCTTGTAAAAAAAGATAAACAATTTTTACTTCTCATGAAAAGTCACACTGTCACGCTACAAATATTATTTCTGCATGGAATTTCTTAATGGTGGAAAGTGGAGAAAACATTTTCCAGTCTTATTTTCGGGAAACATGGCACATTTAATGAATCAATTTATGGGGTTATTGATATTTCCTTTCAAATGAAGGGGACAGAGTTTCCCGTCATCCGCGGTGCAAATCTCTAAAGTAATAAACGACATAAGAAAGAAACGCACGATTTTCCCATCAATTTTTCGCTTACATGCATCTCTCTAAACATTAAACTTTCCTACGAAAAATCTTGAAAGTGTTTTACATTTTTTAGCTTTCTTGATCAATCATCTTTTATGAAGAGCTAAAAAATGTAGGTTTATTGGGTCAAGTGACCGGCTAGAGCCAGAACTGCTTGACAGGTGTAGTTGAGAGAAACTTGTGACAGTCGCAGATTTTAAAAGGCATCCAAGACAAAAATACGTTAGTGCCCAAATAATTTTTTGATGGTTTTCAGCGAAGAAATGATGGATTATAAAGGGGAATTAAGATTAGTGTTGTAGCTTTCTGCTAAGAGGAGATATTTGACCTCAAAGTTCTCAAATATTCTGCTGAATCGAAAAGTCTAAAAACACAGTCGTTTATTTGCCTCTGTTGATTGACAAGCCGTCAATCAAATTGATTGATACTTGTATCGAACATTTACTGAGGATGTAATAATATGTGTGTAAATCCTCAGAATAATTGGTTAAATACCATGGCAGTGAGAGCTTCATACATTTTATCTGTCTCCCCTCGGAAAAAACCAAAACAGAAACCTCTTTGTCTTTTTGAGTTTTGGGGTAGACACTTTAAATTGGCAAAGCTTTATTGAAATCGGTGAGATGGCAAGTAGCACGACTGCCCGTACTCTCGTGGACACACTTTTAACGGCTTCGAATTCAAGTGTCATCATTCCGGTTTCTCCGTTTACAACGGCAATTGCTTTAGAGGCTAGAACTGGTGTTATCTAGTATATTCTTTTTCGCGAGATGGTATAATTATCGTATTATTGATTTAACGGCCAAAGAAAGCGAAAAACAAAAAAAATGAGAGAAAAGATAACAACACTATAGGGCTGTTTGAGGCGTTTTGGTACACATTTAAGTGAAGTTTCTCAAGTCTTAAAATTAATAGTTTTGATGAATTTTAGTAACATATGCAGCGACAAACAGAAACGAAACTCAGAAGATTCGCTTGGCCTTACCGGAAGTTAGAAATCCGTCACTGATTTCCATGCACCAGGAATCTGCAGCAACTGGACTTCGGACTTGCTTTTTCAATTAATTACGAAACTCTTAGACATAACTAAGGGGGAATAGGATGCAGAGTTGAGCCGGACCAGTCCAACAGTCCAAAAGCTTCTGTTTCTTCACTAGTACGGCTTTATGTTTTCGGCCGGGACGGTAAAGTTTCCCTGTACTTTTTGTGCAATTAACTTTGAAGTGATTGACTGAACGGACAATGTAAGGAAAGGAACCCCTAAAATTCGCTTGGCCTGATCGGACGGTAGGACCAATTCACTAATTTCCGTATTCTCAGAGAATCCTGTTGCAAATCTTTGGTGACAATATAAGCTACATTTTTAGCCCTTTTTCTCATTCTAACGCTTACACGAACAATAATAAATTAGAGGAATTACTCTCACTCGTCTTTGAGAACAAGTCTCAGTAAGAATCAAACATTTTGGGAAATGAAAATTTTCAACCCCCCTTCAAATTTTGCATGTAGTTAGGCACTCAGGGGGGATACACAAAAATGCTCTTGTTAAAGGTCTTGTTAAAGCTTGCTCTTGTTAAAGGTTTCTTCTATGTCTTGTTAGAGAAAATATCATAACAAAGTTCGAAATAAAAGATTGAATGAAATCATGTCATAATTCCACCTTTCAAACAACTTATTATCCACACGCAAATCGCAACTCGTAACTTGAACGAAACTCCCCATGGTTAATATGAAATCTGGATTGCTGATTGATTGACAGAAAGATGAATATAGCGCAATCTCCCAGTAATTTACACGAGAGGAAGACAAAGGTCTCTCTAATTTTCTCCTGAGGTGGCCGGCTCACATGTGTACTGCCGCTGACAAGTTGCAGTTTCTGCTTTCAAATTCTCAGTGTTTACGAGCGTTCAATCGAGGGTTTTTTCTTTCTTTTTTGGTTGTCTTTACTTAGAAAGCGCGGAAATCTGCTGATATATCGAAAATGTCCATTTCTCATCTTCTTTGGGACGACCGATGGAAACTTCACGGAGAAATACAGCGTCACGCCATCGTGACAACGTACATGTTTACGACAAATGACCGGTGTGACAATAGTTTCGTGTAGATCAGCCGACTTCAACATGTTTCAAATGACATATAAGTATAACAGTGTATCTTCAGAGGACTTCAGAGGACTTCAGATCGCTCAAATTCCCATGAAAGAAGGTGCAGCACTCGGAATCTGGATGATATGCACACGATTTGAGGTATATGTTTGTAGTTACGTCGAGTAGTCCTCCGTGAAGGTTGATCAATTTTTTTTTTAAAAGATGACCACCAGGGGCGAGATTTATCTTCGGGATATTGCTCATAAGATGACATTCTTTCAAAGCTTTACATGTTTCATTTTTCTGAAACATTTGTTGTCGAGAACATTCGATGTAAACATCGCCAAATTATGCAATATCTGATTTTTGAGCTTCATTCGCGAATTGCTCCTATGGAAAGTAGAGGCAGGCCCGCAGATATTTTTATATTTTTAAAAACTAGAATATTATAACCAGCTAGGTGTGCAGTTTCTGTTCCAGAATCGGTTTACTTTTGGAGAAATTCAGATAAACGTTTTCCCTGTTTTACCCGACAACAAAAATGACCGAAACTGTACCGAGATAAATAATCTCTTTGTGTGTTCACATTTACTCCCAGGGAAATTAAATGTATCAAAGTGAAGACGAATGATGTTGCTATGTATGGTAGAAGTGCCAATTTGTAATGTTTTATTTAGCTTGAGATAGAGAAATAAACATTTCACTCTTTTTCTGCCACGTTTTTGTATGAAAACGAGGCCCCAGGCCACGAACAAGCAGCCGTTGTTACCGTGGCAACAAGAGTGCTGCGCCCTTTAAAAAGAGCATTTTTTTGCATCCCCCCCTGAGCGCCTAACTGCCTGCAAAATTTGAAGGGGGGTTGAAAATTTTCATTTCCCAAGATGTTTGATTCTTAGTGAGACTTGTTCTTAATGCTTCGCAATCCTCTCGAATACAAGTCAATGTAAATCTTCAATGTAAATGGTGCATGTAGAATCCTGTTGCAAATTTCTATTGTTGATTGCGGTTGCAATTGAAGTCTCCTTTTTTTCCCCACAATTAATGTTACGCGAACAGTTCATTAGCTGAGCAACCAATGAACTTTGCAAGCGAGTCCAGTTCAACAAAATTTAGCCTCAAATCCCTTACATTTCACGAGTCTTCATTGCCTTTACAAAAGTTTTGGACAATCGGGTGAGGTAACTGATGCCTAAAGGTGGTTTTTTTTATGATTAAACTCGTGAAAACGATTACAGACGGCTACACTTAATTATTGCTTCGTCGGTATGAATTGTATTAAAAGCGATCAAAAAAAGTTTAATTCCGGCTGTCATCATATATGCGTATTTTCTCGCTGAGTTGGGTTTAGTATAGGTTTAACTTCAATTGTTTCCTTTTCGTTCACTCTTGAGTAAACATCGTCTTATGCCTTTGTTTTACTTTCATCTCAGTGCGTTTGAGTGAGTAGTGATAGCCCCGGAAAGTGTACCAGTTGACTCCAATAGCAAAAGTGGCATGGGGACCACTGAGGTACATTCCGTTCAGATTGGACGCATGACAGTCGTTGTACCACCAAGATCCCTTGAACTTCTGGGCGCAGCTGGGCTCTAAATCATGATGATCGTTGTCTTGATCTTTGGTAGAAAACTGCATATTGCTCAAAAGAAAAAAAAGTTCGTGTAAACTTATTTCTAACATAGTTGAATATGTAGAGAATTTTTTTCTTTAAAAAACTATGCTACTTAGTCGTATGAAGTTATGTGGATAAATTTCCATAAAGACAGGAGAGACAAACACCCAAGTAGACAAACAGATAGACAATCTAAGATCCTACACCCAATTTTTTTGAGGCTCATGGCAGTCTCTTTGGTTTGGCAGTTGATTGCACCTTTTGCATCAGCTTACACTGATTGTAATAGATTCTTTATTTTGTTCTTTCTGTATTTCAGCTCTTAACCGGCTTTCTAAAACTCGTTATTTCAACTGTCAAAAGTTCTAACAGCCGTATTTTTTTTTTCTGTTGACGCATTGAAATTTGTACTCCTATAATCCCTAATGATTAAAGGAGTAGCAACCAGACAACAAAATAGACCAGAAGAGAGAGAGAAATAAGCAGAGAGCTGCGCAGTTTTTTTTTTCTTTCTTTCTCAGTAGTTAAGAAAACAAATTTCAACACCACTTAACGTTTTCGTGGGAATGTAAAATCTGGCTTCAGGTTTAAAATCCAATAAAAGCCTGATAAGCTTTTCACTTTCGTTCGGTGTCAGTATACTAATGATATACCCGCTAATCACAAAGTGCCTCCCCTCAGCTGGTAATTATAATGGATCATCTCCGTTCTTTGAAAACACTTTTTGATCCATGGTATGCCATTGAGTCACCAGCCATTCATGTGACATCCACTCTTTGAGGATCATACTTAAAATTTCAGTAATGAATTCATAGTAAACCTTGTAATTCTGGTAATTTTGGTTTTATTAACGGATTCGATAAAGTAAATTGGCCACCGTAAGTATTTACAAAGCTGACGTTTCAAGACTTAGCCCTTCGTCAAGGGGAACTGGTAATTGAGAGTTTCTTACTGTAATATATGTCTCATTGCAGTCATAGAGTCACCAGCCGTGCCATTGTATCCTCCAATCGAAAGCTGGTACTTAGCAGCCTCATCTGCCACCTTAAAACTCATGTACTCAGCGTAGGCAATGTTGCCTTCAAAGTCTTGCAGGTCAATTCTCAGCATGACGTCATCAGAGTCTGTCAAACGGTGAAGATTGTCGTTTCCAAGCCAGAACTCGCCGCTCAGATTTCCAAAGCCATTTTTGTAGGATTCCCATCCAAGATAGAAGTCAACAGAGCCGTCCAAACGTCTCTGAAAAACGGTCCAACCTCCACCGTCCGTTGTCATGTCACACAACACTTGGATTGAATTGCCACCATCTGGATTGATGGTATATACGCCACTGGAATTCCAACCGTCTCGAAGCAGTTCGGCGCAGCTTTTTTGTTCTATAACAGTGAAATGATAAAAAAGAAAAGAAAAAAAAAACCAAAAAACAAACGATACGAACTCATTTTCTTCATCAATTTGTCAACCAAGGTTTCTTATTTACCGCCAAGTTAAATTTGTAAAAGCATCACACATGCTACGCTAATTCTGTGAATTGGACATTCATAAAAGATAGAGCTGAAAACTTTAAGAGCCAAACCAGTTCGTGAATAGGAGGCTCGACGCAGATTCGGGATTTACTAGACAAAGCCACTCTATCTATAATGCTCTAATCCAACCACATTTCAATTTCTGTTGTGAGGTCTGGGACATAATTAGAAAAGGCCACTCTGACAAAGTACAAAAGTGGCAAAATAGGTCTGCCAGACTCGTTATTCATATGAGCAAAGATACTCACAAGGCTCTCAGTTCTTCAGGCTAGAACACCTTCGAAAGTCAGCGGGTCAGCTCAAAATGTAGGGAAATGTTTAAAGTGCTCAACTGCTTGACTCTAAGATGTCTCGCTGAACTTTTCCTAAGAAAGAGTTGCACTCTCAGGGGCTCCTCCATCTCACTGCAATTGCCTTTATTTAAATAGAGTAGAAACTACTTTATATTCCAACTGGAACAAAACTCGATAAATATTCACCTTCACATAGAAACCCATCACCTTTATGTCCATCCTTGCACCAGCAGCTGTACGACCCTTCAGTATTGTTGCATACTGCGTTAACGTGACAGGCATGGTTTCCGTCTGTGCACTCGTCCAAATCTACAAAATGTTAACCTACCTCCATTACTGATCCGTTGAGTCAATAAAATTCAGTGTTGATATTCCCCCTCCAGCCCGTGATTGATCAGGAGTGTTCTCCTTGTTTTAATTTCGATTTGTTACTCATTAATTCAAAATGCTGCAAAGCTCTTCGTAAAATCTCTATTTGAAAACCGAAGAAGGAAGTGATCACAGGATTATGTAGTAGGCAATGCCAAACTTGTTACACTCATTCACCTCTTTCGCACTTGTCTCCAGTAAATCCCGGTGAGCAAACGCAAAGAAAGGTTTCGTGTTCAAAATCTGAATAACATCGTGAATTTGAAGGACACAGAGCTGTACCACATGGATTCTTTAACAAAATGCAACAGAAAATAATGTGTAAATTAAACAAAAAGAACCAACTTGATAATTGTTTTGGTTTTTCGTAAGATGTTCAGAAGAAAAACTGATCTTTACATAAATAAAGGTATCAAAAAAAGAAAATATGGACATAGACTTCTTTATCGATTGCTTTAAGTTTCAAATTGAATGTGAAAAATTGTCCAAACATCACCATACACGCAACCCTTGGTAAGTTAAAAATTTTGGCAATATCTCAGAGCTTCTAAATTAACATAACGTCTAACCTTGCCAAGTAGGCAATCCATGCGCTTTAATATGACCTTAAGTCAATGTATTAACCAAGTTTTACAACTTCAAGCAAGCAATGACAAAATACAGAGTTGGCGGAATTTTCTTGATGTAAAATCAAAACGTAAGCTAATACATGCAATTTCCATCGCTGTTAAGAGCTAATGTAAGCATGCATCAGACAAACGGCGACAATTTGTAGCCCAATATGACCTAATAATATGTCGCCTAGTAGCATCAAAACAAAGACAGTTTTAACAATGACCGATATTACAGAATCTACTGAGCTTCAAGCTTTTAAAATACAAAAGGATGGTTAAAAGGTTACAGTAAAAATTTCCTTGTGTATTTGGGTTGTTCTATTTTGAGACGAACTCAAAGTCCGGAAAAATTTACTTGCTAGCGACTATGAACCGTTTACTGGCATAAATCACTACAATTTTTAAAAAAATCTAATATAACACTCTTACCTTGTTTATTTATGATTTCATGAGCTGTTTCGATGATCACGTCATACCTCACCACATTCTAGCCAGATCTGAGTTCCAATTTTTATATCTTCCCCATCTTATTATCTCAGTTGCATGACAAGCGTGACACATAAATTCAAAGATGTATCAATCTCCGAAATAGCAAGAGATGGGTATTTTTCCTCTTTGCATTATATCTAGAAAAACCTTTCAGGAACTTCTGCATTTAGAAAACTAAAGATCCATCAATGATTCCCTTGCCGGCCGAAGTCAAAGATTACAAAAGTCAATTTGATTGACAAGCTACATACTGATTTAGGTAATTATCTGTTGTGTAAGCATCTCATCTTACATACTAACATGGAGATTGCTGTTCATTTAAATCGTTCGCTGGTGGAACTTGTGGGTTTAGTTATCGAGAAGACCAAAGTTGCATATCTCAAGTCTCACCCTTGCATAGTTGTAAAAATGACATTTCAAGTCACTTGCGGAGTTGCAAGTTTTCAGATCCAGAAAATGAAGTTGATCTTACTTTGTCGCTTGCCGGCATCTTGGAGACACTAACAGATATCGATGATTTTACAATTTGCCCCACACATAGATGTTGGGTAGAGTTGTGGCTCCAATAGTAGATGTAGAGTGCCTTAAGAGGTGTCTGGCCATTGCAATGGTAAGTTTAAGTCGATTCCAAAAGCCGATAGGGGAATTGGCAACCGTGTATCACAGGTAGTACTCACAAGCCTTCTTTTCACTACTGCTTAAGTAGTGTTCATAACTGTGAAGATCGCTTCCATATTCACGTCTTTATCCGCAGTTCAAATATATGACTTTCGTATATTCACAGCCGAGTACTCAAGATGTCTGGAAAATTCCTACAGCCTGGCTCCGGTAAGTAGGCTACTTACCACCTTGAGTAAAATTACGCGTCCCGTCAGACTTAAGTCTCGATTAGGAATTGGTCAATAGGCTACAAAAAATCCAGACAGAGGCGGAGTTTTCTATACTAATGTCTGAACACTTTGTTGGCTTCCCGCCGTTTGGCGGAACGCGTAATTATGCACACTGTGGTAAAGGGCCCTTCCGCACAAGCTACTAGACGCTGACAAAACTTGTTTCTCTTAACCCAAAATCACATCACGTATGCTGCACGTATCATCACCCCAGGGGGACACATTTACATAAGAGGGCTTGGGTGCGCACCGGGAATTTTTAAAATGGCCCCTATTAAATTATAAAAAGCCTTCTTCCCCCCGGTCAGCACCTAAAAACAAACATTTGCTCCCCAGTGAAAAAAAAAGTGATTTGCCCCAGTCGCCCCCCACCTCATAAAATCTAATGTTCCGTCTCTAAGATACCTTTTACATAATTCCAAAATGAGTTTCGTTCCCCAACGAAGTGAATTTCACACCGCGTTTGCATGCAAGATAATTTACCTTTAAAAGCAATTGTTTATGTCCTTATCTTTCTTTTTCTATGCTTCACTCGCTCCTAAAGAGGATTCATACCGATATAAGAGTCGTTCCGCGTTTATATCATACAGGTACAAGAATGAGTGTTTCGTTCTGGAATGTAAACCCCAATAAACTCATTCAGAAATGACTCGTTTTGAATAAACTTCACTCTGGTACCATGTGGCAACCGGTATGAACTCGTTCTTGAACAAAATTCATCCCGATATCATGTAAAAAGCCCCTAAAAGTTTTTATTCCCAGAGCATCACACTTTGCTAACCTGTCTAAATACTATAAATTTCAATAGCATTCAAGCAACAAACCGCTTTTAACTGCTTCGCTGCCACTGAAACAACGATTAGTGACCACAAATGGCACATATTCTAATATTTTCAATTCAACATAAACAAAAATCTCTATACAAGGTAAATATTCATTTGTGTCAGTATAAATTATTGCGTGACTAGCGTGATGTAAATGGGGAAGGGGAAAACACAATGCAAAACCTGGGCTCCTGTCAAAAAGTAATTCCCAGGCGTTATATAATGATCGAAACAGCTCATAAAATCATAAATGAACAAGGTAAGAGTGTTATGTTAGATTTTTTTAAAAACTGTAGTGATTTATGCCAGTAAACGGTGGCGACGAGTAGGCACACCATGCATTATTCATAGTCGCTAGCGAGTAAATTTTGCCGAACTTTGAGTTCGTCTCAAGATAGAACAACACAAATACACAAGGAAATTTTTACAGCAACTTCTCAATAATCCTTTTGTCTTTTAAAAGCTTGAAGACCCCTCGAAGCTCAGTAGATTCTGTCATATCGGTCATTGTTAAAACTGTTTTTGTTTAGATGTTACTTTTCGACATAGAAAAAGTATGTAGGACAAAAATATTTACCAAAAATAAATATTTCTTTGCCAGCTCCAGCAATGACAAGGGATTACGTTTAGATGATAAGCAAAGGATTATGTTGACAGAAATACCGGAGGTCAAGTTTATTCGTTACATGAGGTCAGACAACTCGGGTAATATTACGGTGAAAATTTGCATATTTGAGCAGTCGAAGGAAAAAAATCATTTCTCGAAAACTGACATATATTTTCACAAAAAACTACGTCAACAACTACATTATTAGGACATATTGGGCTACGAAATATGAAAGTTGGAGTGAAATCGAATTTTGGGCAACCTGCCACAATATTTCAAATTTGTGCGATGGATGCTGACATCCGCTCTTAAGAGGTTTTTTCCGAGCTTTGCGACGTTTTTTTGTTGCAAAAATCAAGAAATTCATCTCTATCAAAAAGCGATTTCTCTACTTTCATGTTATGCTTTTCACTACATTCCCTACCCATGATACCTTCGTTGCGCGGTAAAGGAAGTCTTGCTGTGCCCTCAGGTCATCTGGATCTCTAACACCATCGGAATCACTCAGCTCACACAAGTAATCACCATCCTCATTTGGACCGAAGTTATATGATTCGCACTTGACTTCAATGAAACATTGTATTTCACAAATCTCTGCTGTCTTTGCTCTCGGTGTGCTGATCACGTGATTTAGGAGAGCCTTGTTTGCAGCTGGCTCTTCAAATTCCTTTGTTATGGCAGTGCATGGAACTATTTAAAATTCACAACAGCGAACAACTATCAGTTAATGATTTCATAGAATCGCGAACAATTTCTGGTTTCTTCTATAGAGTCTTTATTAATAGAAACGTTAAGATTTTAGTTGACAGCGAGGCAATAACGATTGAAATCCCACACTGTAGTTCAGGACATTTTGAGCCATACTATTACATGGTTTCTTTATAAATGAAAATGTTTATGGAGTATGGGCTTTACTTTCGACATTTTTTTTTTTGATAAGAAGTAATCGTTATCACCAGAGATTAGATTGATCTGTGAAAGTCAAAATACGTGACGAAAAACAGTATTCAAAAGTAAATTGATAATCTTTAGCAAAGATTTGCCATCATTTAAATTGAACTAAAAATCTAAAACCTGTACTTATCTTTCGATAAATGGGAAATTGTCGTCGACTTAACTCGATCTATGGAAATAAGAAAATGTGTGGAAAATAAGATCATAATCCTCCTACCTGCATCTGAGAGACCACTCCACGAAAGCCTCTTCAAAGCCACGAAAAGAAACATGATGCATAACAGAAAACCATTCATCGAATCTAGGATGAACTGTAATAACTGAAGGGAGACCTACACGTTCAATGATTATTCTGTTATTGTCTAAAGGCTGGCTCTATTGTTATGCATTACCGTCAAATTTTGTCTGTGTTATGTGTGGCGGGTTAATCAACATTTAGAGAATGTATAGGATAATAATGAATTCTCTTTTGTATTACCAAGACTGTTTCTGATAAATTTTTGATAACCTCCTTGCACCAATGGAGACCTCCCTACTCCCATACCAGGTGTTCGAAAATTAAGAGAAATATATTGCAAAGTTTTCTCTTCTTGTCACGGAAAAACGACAGAGTAAAAATTCTGAGTCCTCCGTGAAAAAAGAATCGGATTCCGCGCTCTTATGCTCTACCACTGAGCCAAAAACTCTCTATTACGGACAAGGTCATTAATAGTTTCACATTCGACATACGTCCTGCATATAGCTAAGATCGGCCATGAGCAATTCGTCATGTCCGAAAATGACACAAGAAAACCACCCTGATAAAAGAAATAGATGTGAATTCGAAAACTTTTTGTCAGTCCGAGTGCGTGGATGAAGAACGATGTGTGCCTTACAACTTTAGGACCATGAAGGTGTACTCAGAGAAATTCAGCTGAGTGCAGTGATCGACTTTCTGGATCTGATAACTTGATTGAGGATGAGGGTTTTAGGCTCGGTTTAAACGTCACATTTTACATACGTCGAATCTAATACTAATTTCAGTCGACTTGAATTAGAAAAGTTCAGCATTTGATTTAAACGTCGCATTTAATTGTGCCGGATTTAATTGCCGAGTGCGAGTGACAGCATCATTCCCAGGCCCCGCTCTAAGTTCCCCGCCAATATGGCTGAGAAAGATAAGGAGGAAATTTGCATTTGCATTTGTTCTCTTGTTATGCTTTTGCTATCGGAAAGAAATGCCATGACACATGTCCCTCAACACCGATCACGCTGTCGATTGATACGAAATGAAGGCTGGTGGCACAAGTTATGGACTTCATATTCTGATGTTCGGTTTAAGAAAACCTCACGTGTTTCATGGGCAACATTTCATTTTATTTTAAGTCGTGTTGGGAACGTAATTCAAAGACAAACTGTGAGAGAGGAACCGATTTTACCTGAGGAGAGACTGGGCATATGTCTTTATAGACTGAGAAGAGGCGATTACTATTACATTATCGCTGAAATGATAGGAAGAGGAGTTATCACTGTGAGCTCCATTGTACCGGAAGTATGCCAGGTTCTGGTTGAATATTTGTGGACTGAAAGTATTTTAAGTAACATGCCGAAACCCCGAGAAGACTTCGAGAGAAAGATTCTCGATATGGAGGAATCATGACAATTCCCTTGCTGCTGGGTGACATTGGATGGGTGCCACATACCCATAAAATGTCCTCCCAGCGGCCTTGAAGCATGTAAAGAATATCATAATTTTAAAAATTTTTTTCAGTTGTCCTTATGGCCATGGTTGATTCTCATTACCGTTTTGTATGGGTTAGTTGCGGTTATCCCGGGAACTCCCATGATGCTATCATTTTTAGGTCTACAAACCTCGGGAATGCAATCCAAGATGGCCTTCTACTCAACATGGGCAAAGCAGTTGGTGAAGTAAATGCACCACCTCTTATAATAGCCGATTCCGCCTTTCCCTTCCAGGGATGAAATCGGGAAACTGTTACTCATGAGAGAGTGCAGAAGTGTGCATGATGTTTCGGGAGAGGCGACTTGAGTCAGAGATACCCTTTGTAGAAATTTATGGGTGGAGAAAGAAACTGGGAGAGTTTCCTAACTTGATTCTATAACCTGGTTGAAAAAAATGGTAGCATAGTTCAGATATTTTTCCAGCAGATGGTTTTATATACCTTTTATTCAGAGACATGTACAAACATGAACTTTAAAGATTTCTATAATTATTAGAAGTTGAAATGTCTTAAATCATCACGGTTATTCAAATCATGTAGTTACAACATCGCAAAAATGACTAATATTATTGTGACACACTCCATTTTAATAATTTAAAAAAAACTATTTGATAATTAGAAGCCACCCACAACTCTTTTGCAGGTTATGTAGGTTATGTGGCTACAAAGGCAAAGCTCTCCCTTTGTTAAGAAAACTTCTGACAGAAGAAGATCATCATCTGTAGTCTTTTTCAGTAATTTACAGGGAACATTCTGTCACGTCTTGAATAGTCTAGGTTCCCTGATCTTGATCTGCTGCTCAAACACCTATTCCATAACTATGGAAGTGTTACCTTTATGAATTGTACAAAGTTACATGTATTTGTCAGGCTCTTCATATGCTTTGACTTTAGTACTGTGAAAAGAAATCAGTCAACATCACATAAAATAGTGCTGTTAGTTGCTAGATTTTGGTATTTTTTAACTCTTTGGTTGTCATGAGTTGTAGCTGTTTTTTTTTTTAATTTTACAGTGCAACTTAGCCTCGCAATTTACCAAATAAAGTGGGTTTCCTGTCTTAAATGATGACACTTCGTTATAACGCGGTTATAGAATATCGTTAAATCCTTAAATTCTTAAAGAAAACACATTCAATCATTATTTGGCTAAAAACGGCTAGAAAGGGTGATGAAATGAAAATTAAAATGTTTTTTTCTTTGAGCTAAGGGCTTTGCTCTCGAAACGTTTGTTTTTTTTTTTTTATCAAAGGTAATCGTTATCATCAGAGATTAAAGTCATTAAAGTCAAAATGGCTGACGAAAAACAGTATACTTGTTAAAAATAGATTGATAATCTTTTGCAAACAGTTGCCATCATTTAAATGGGACTAGAAATCTATAACCTGTTCTTATCTTCGATAAATAGGCAATTATGGTCGACTAAATTCGATCTTTGGAAATGAGAAGTTGTGTGAAAAAATTAAAATCATAATTCTCCCCACCTACATCTGAGAGGCCACTCCACGAAAGCCTCTCCAAAACCACGAAAAGCAACACGATACATAACCGAAAACAATTCATCGAACTCAGGATGAACTGCAAGTACCTGAACGAAACCTTCCCTTTGATTCCCTACAGGTTCAATGTTAATTCTATTATTTTCACAAGGCTGGCCCTATTGTGGTGCATTACCGACAAATTTTGTCCGTGTTATGAGTGGCAGGTTAATTAACTGTTATAAAATGTGTAGGATAATGAGAGATTCACATTTGTATTACCAAGCATATTTCTGTTGATTAATTATTAATGACTTTCTCGCCTCACAGGAGGACTTAACTCCCATACCAGGTTTTTGGAAAACAAAAACCAAACTATATTATTATTGCTTTACCACTTTGCCACAAACTCTCTTTTATGGACTAGGTCATAAAAAGTTTTACATCTGACACGCGTCCTATAAATAGGTAAGATCAGCCATGAGAAAATCGTCATGTTCGAAAATGGCACAACAAAACCACCCTGATAAGAGAAATGCAAGTGGCTTCGAAAAGTTATCGTCAGTCTGAGTGTGTGGATGAAGAACGATGTCTGCCTTACAACTTTAGAACCGTGACCATGTACTCAGTGAAATTCAAGTATCAGCTGAGTGCTCTGATCGATTTTCTGGATTTAATAACTTGACTAAAAATGAGGATTTCATTTACAGGGAGAGGAAGGTGATGTAAAAAACAGAAATGGAAAAATTGAATTTGCAACGGCAAAACATATACGGTAACCCATGCTATCTTTGCACAATTTTTACACTATGTAAATTTAGGAATCACGAATGAAAAATCTCGACGATCCTTCTGTTCAACCATAAGCAAATTATCTCTCATTTAAAACAAATGGTAATATTTTCACATTACTTACATTTGAAATAAACGCACACAGGTTAGGTGGCAACATGGACGTTCATAGGTAAACCATTTTTGGTTGGGTTGTAATTGCTTTTAGGATTTACTTTAAAATTTGAATTATCGACTTAAGAAAACAAAAATTGATATTTGCGCTGCATGTTACGCGCATAAAGACTGGTTGGGGTGTAAGAGATCACAAGCACTTGGAGGCTATTACATCGTACTGAACTTTACAAAAAATTGTTCAACTTTAAAAGCTGCTTTTTTTGATATTGACATACATAATAAAATTCTAGAGTAGTCTTTTATTCTTCTGAAAATTTTGAGTGATAATATATGAAGCTTTCGAAGCTAATTACATAGAACTTCGATTACAAATATAATTATCGTGGACTACTTTATTTGTTTTACTGTGAATGCCTTGCCTTTCTGTACAATGTTATGTAGTCTTTTTAAGAATTGTTGCATGAGGCGTCACTGAAGTGGACACACGTGGGACACCTTCTACCATTAGTATAGATTTATCACTCGCTAGAGGCAATTCGTTTTATAGAACGACAATTAGTTAAGAATGGTGTCTTCTTAATGTACCGTGCGTAGTTCTAATTGACCCTTTTGTGATTTTGTCCTCTGATACAATTAGTATATCTTTTTTCTGTAGTGCACCAATGTTCTAGAAATTTTGGTTAAGTAATTGATTTCACAAGAGGATTTTAGTAGCAAGATTATGATAACGTACGTAAACTATGGGCTGTACTTAAACAATAGTTCATCGGCATGAATTTTGATGACATTGTAGAAGAAAATTTAATTTAATGGTGTCATCATATAAACGTATTTACTTGCTGAGGTAGGTTTGGTGCAAGTTTTAGGTCAAATTGTTTCCTTGTCGTTCACTACAGCATAAACATTTTCTTATGCCCTTGATTTTATTTTCATCTCTGTGCGTTTTAGTGAGTAGTGATAGCCCCGGAAAGTGAGCCAGTTGACTCCTTTACCGTAAGAGGCTTCGGAGCCATTGTGGTACAATCCATTCAGATTGGACCTATGGCAGTTGTTGTACCACCAAGCTCCCTTGTAGTGTTCGGCGCAGTTGGACACGTAATTATGAAGACCATGATCATTATCTTGGTCATTCGTGGAAAACTGCATATTGCTGAAATGAAATGAAATTTCACGTAAGCTTGTTTGTATCATGTTTAAACGTGTGGAAGATGATTACTGTTCATAAGAAACTTAGTCTACGTATACAAATTGATTTAATAAATAGCATAAAGTCAGTAGAGATAGACACCCGGGGACACAGACAGAGTGACAAAGTAAGATCTACGTGTTTTGGCGGTTTTCGTTTTGTATTCAACTGAATTTTTTTTTTTTTTCACAGTCAGCGATCTACAATCATGAGAATGCAATTCAATCTTTCGTCTCAGCATTCAGCATTTTTAAAGGGATGGTTTGATCGCTGCTACCAGACATCAGCTTTAAATTATTGCCAACAAGTATTGTCTACAATTCCAAGATCATCAGTATAGCTTCTTTAAGGCTCAAAAAAGTCTTATTTAATTTTAATTAAAATTTGGCTGTATTTAAAACTTGTACATATCTAATATTACATTAAAAAAGATAAGATGTTGTTTTCTTTTAATCACACCCAATGTAGTGGCTATCCTTGCCCAAGTGCTCTGTATACTGTACTCCATTACACCACACGAAAATCTGTCTTACCTATGGTATGTCATAGAGTCGCCAGCGGTGCCGTTGTATCCTCCAATCAAAAGTCGATACTTATCAGCCTCGTCTGCCACCTTAAAAGTCGTGTACTCAGCGTAAGTGATCTCGCCATGAAAGTCTTCGAGGTCAACTCTCAGCATGACGTCATCAGTGGTTGTGAAACGGTGGAGATTGTCGTTTCCAAGCCAGAACTCGCCATTCAGATTTCCAAAGCCGTTTTTGTAGGATTCCCATCCAAGATAAAAGTCAACCGAGCCGTCCAAACGTCTCTGAAAAACGGTCCAACCTCCACCGTCTGTTGTCATGTCACACAACACTTGGATTGAATTGCCACCATCTGGATTGATGGTGTATATGCCATTAGAATTCCAACCGTCTCGAAGCAGTTCGGCGCAGCTTCTTCGTTCTATAACGGTAGAAAGTTAGGAAAAAAACAGACAAATAAATAAACAAAAAAACAACGTGACAGGCATGCTTTCCGTATGTGCACTCGCCCAAATCTACAAAACATTAACCCACCTCCATTACTGATCCGTTGACTCAATAAAATGTTCCCCATGTTTTAATTACTCATTAATTCAAAATTCTATGAAGCTCTTCGAAAAATCTCTATTTGAAAACCGAAGAAGGAAGTGATCACAGGATTATGTAGTAGGTAATGCCAAACTTAAAACACTCATTCACCTGATTCACACTTGTCTCCAGTAACTCCCGGTGAACAAACGCAGATGTAGGTTTCGAGTTCAAAATCTGAATAACATCGTGAATTTGAAGGACACCGAGCTGTACCACATGGATTCTTTAATGAAATGCAAAAGAAAATAATGCGTAAATGAAACAAAAAAACCAACTTGTTTTGGTTTTTCCTAAGATGTTAAGACAAACAGATCTATACGTAAATAAAGGTATCAAAGAAAGAAAAGATGGACATAAACTTCTTTACTTATTGGTTTAAGTTTCTAATTGAATGTGGAAAATTGTCCACAACTTGAAGCAAGCAAAGACAAATTATAGAGTTTTCTTGAGATAATATCAGAAGATAACCTAATACATGGAATTTCCATCGCCGTCAAGAGGTTTTTCCGAGCGACGTTTTAAGCCAACATTTCGCGATCCAAAAATCAAGAAATTCATATCTATCAAAAAGCAATTTCTCTATTTTCGTTTCATACTTTTCACTACATGCCCTCCCCATGATACCTTTGTTGCGCGGTGAAGGGAGCCTTGCCGTGCCCTCAAGTCGTGTGGATCTCTAACACCATCGGAATCACTCAGCTCACACAAGTAATCACCATCCTCATTTGGACCAAAGTTGTATGATTCGCACTTGACTTCAATGAAACATTGTATTTCACAATTCTCTGCTGTCTTCGCTACCGGAGTGCTGATCACGTGATTCAGGAGAGCCTTGTTAGCAACTGCCCCTTCAAACTCCTTTGTTATGCATGGAACTATTTAAAATTCACAACACCGGACAGCTATCAATAATTGATTTCTAAGAATCGAGAACAGTTTCTGGTTTCTTGTATGGATTCTTTATAAATAGAAACGTTTCGAGTTAAGTTGACAGCGAAACAGTAACGATTAAAATCCTACGTTGTAGTTCGGAACGTTTGGGGCACCGACTTTATGAGCCATACCATGACGTGGTTTCTTTTTAAACAAAAAAGTTTCGCAATGACTTGACAGCGAGCTCCACTGCGAGACAAGAAAGCTTAATGTTAAAAGACTGGTGCACTGGATTTCTGAAGTTATCAAAAAATCACACATTCAATCATTATTTGGCAAAACCGGTTAAAAAGGGTAATGAAATGAAAAGGAAAATATTTTTTACACGAGCTAAGGGGTTTTCTCTCGAAACGTTTGGTTTATTTTTTTATCAAAACTAATCGTTATCATCAGAGATTAGTATGAGATGTGAAAGTCTCAATAGATAAATAAAATCATAATCCTCCTACCTACATCTGAGAGGCCACTCCACGAAAGCCTCTCCAAAGCCACGAAAAGCAACATGATACATAACTGAAAAGAATTCATGGAATCTAGGATGAACTGCATGTAGCTGAAGGAAACCTTCGCTGACTCCCCACAGGTTTAATGATAATTCTGTAATTTTCACAAGCCTGGCTCTATTGTGTTGCATTATCGACAAATTTTGTCTCTGTTATGAGTGGCGGGTTAATTAACCGTTATAGAATGTTTAGGATAATGATGAATTCTCTTTTGTATTACCAAGCATACTTCTGCTGATTAATTATTAATGACTTCTTCGCTTCACAGGAAACCTTTACTCCTATAGTATGTCTTTTAAAAAACAAAAATTCTTCTCTTCTTGTCAAGAAAAATTGAATTTGCAACTGCAAAACATAAACGGTAACACATGCTATCTTAGGACAGGTTTCACATTATGTAAATTTAGGGATCACGAATTAAAAATTTTGACAATCCCTCTGTTGAACCATTAGAGAATTATCTCTCATTCAAAACAAATGCTGATATTTTCGCATTACTTAAATTTGAAATTAGCGCAGACAGGTTCGGTTAAAGTCAGTTCTTGCCAATGGCTTTTGGTGTAAGCTTGGGTCATTTGGTGCAAAGAATAAATCACGACCTATGATGAAAACATCTTGATTAAATAAATAATTCAAAGGCTTATACTGAAAACCATAATTTGTATCCTAAATTCTTTAAAATTCTTTGACGTTTATTTAAGAGAGAAGACACAAAATTATAGCAAGGTTTTATAATGAAGGAGTCTTTGTTTAAATCACTTTGACGTTGGCCTTCCAAGAGAATTACCCCCTTTTTGTTTCAATTATCAATATCTACAATTGTACTGCCTGTATCAGAAAAAAATCACGAAAGGGTCCTTCCGAGGTACGGACCCCACATTAAAAAAGACACATCCTCAATTATATGTTGTTCCACCCGAGAAAAACGTCTGCTACAGCTATTTCGAAAAAAAAAGATTAAAGCACAAGTACTGAAAGTGAATAGCATACATGGTAAAAGTACGGAAATCATTTATGCCTAAAATCTGATTGAAGTTCTATTTTTTCGGCTTCCCTTCCAGACTCCTCTCGAATTTTTTTGAGAATTCGAATGAAACGAAAGTGACCTGCAAAAGCTTAGTTTAAGTCCAAATTATAGCATCTCTATGCTTGTAATCTCTTACGCTGCAACCGTTCGTTCTGCCCGTAATATGCCGAGGAAGTATTATTTTTGTTTTCTCCCCAGTGCAGTTTCGACAACTCAAATTTCAAAACCTAAATGCAATTACCACACAACAAAAACTTTCCATGCCTGTGTACATTCACGTAGTCACTGGTTGAGCTGAATGGCAGAGGTCTTGTCACGCTCCACTATTGTTGACATTTTTCTTTATCTCCCCTCGTTTCCATTTCAATGTTTCTTGGTGTTTACAGAATGGACAGTAATTTATTGCTAATATTTTGCAACACTATGTTCATGAAAGGGATGTCTTTCAATCAACGTATTAGAGATAAAGGAAAAAATTACTGTGAATACTGTTAGGCGGAGGGTTGTCGATCGAGCCAACTAGTTTTGCCACTTCTCGTAAGAGTTCAGGGAAAGATATTTGTGAACTTAAATACAAAGCCTTTTGTGCATGAATATGCTTACAATGCAAATTGAACATAATTTTTATCTTTCAAATTTAAAAGTCCAATAAAACTGCCGAGAGTGGCTGAAGGGCTTAGAACTCACTCACAGAGAAAGAAAAGTCAACGCTTAGAATCGCGATGTATGAAATCCCCTCCAGTTGAACCAATTGACTCCATTCGCAAACGTAGAGTGTTCACCACGAAAATAAAGACTATTGAGATTGCTTTCATGGCATCTACTGTACCATCAGCCTCCTGCATACTCCTGGGCACAGTTGTTTCATACTTATCGTTGTCTTTATCTTTTGTGGAAACTCAACGCCACTAAAAGAAAATGATTAATTAATTATATGAGAAGCAACGATTGCAACAAATGGCAAAGTTAAAGCTTAGGAAATTATTTCATAATTTTCCGCCTTCAAGTCAGTCCCAATGTTGCCATTCCTCATTGGGTCACCTGAAGTATCATAATTGTATCCTCCAATCAAAAGTCAGAACTTATCTGCCTTGTCCGCCACGCTACAGGTCTCGTCTGCAGCATAATTAATATTCCCTTCAAAATCTTCAAAATAAACTCTCAACATGACATCACCAGCGGTTCCAAGCGGAAAGGACTGTCGTTTCCAAGCTAGAATTCGCCGCTCATATTTCCAAATCCATTTTTGTAATGGTGATAACCATCAACAGAGCTGTTCAAACGTCTCTGAAAAACGGTCCGTCGCAGTCATGTCACACAATACTTGGATTAGGCTGCCGTCATCTGGATTGATTTTTTATACCCTACTGGAACTCAAACCATTTCGAAGGATTTCGGTGCAGCTTGTTGGCTGTTAAATTAATAGATTTAATTATGATCGGGAACTAGTAAGTTCAAGGGTAATTCAAGGAGTTGATAGTTTCAGTTCCTATTCAATCGTACCTTACTTTACAGATTTCATTTATCCCTGAAAAAAGAATCACCAACCACGCCATGTTATCTTCCAATCAAAAGCCGGTACTTATGAGGCTCGTCTGCGACCTAAAAAGTCGTGTACTCGGCGTACTGAGCATTCCTATCAAAGTTTCCATGTTAACTCTCTTCATTAAGTCAGAGCTTTTCTGAGATGAGTCATTCACTTATCTAGTTACGATTTTAATCAACATAGCATGTCTTATTAAACTTTAATTTTCAGACGTGAAAAACTAACGCAGGCAGAAACAAAGTTGGTAAATCCTCTAGCAGAATATTTTTTCTGGGTATTTCAGATGTGATAAGCCAAAGTAGTTTTCATGAATTTTACTTGTTACTCCCCAGAAACAAAAAGTTGAGCCCGGCTGCATCAGAATTGTCCAATTTTAGTGGCGTGTGCACCATCAATCTGAATGGAGGCACCCCAATACTAGGGTTGTGTGGCATTAACTCTGACAATTAAGATTGACTTCTACCGTGGATGGGACTGCTCCATATACGGGTTTGGAAATCTCAGGCTTAGGAAGGACAATTTTCGCCGTTTGACATCATGTTGACAGTTGACCTGGAAGACTTTGTAGGGAAAATCGCTCACGCTTACGACTTTTAAGGTGGCAGACGAGGCAAATAGGTAGAACGGCTTTCAGTTGGAGGATAAAGCGGCTCTGCAGGTGGTAACATGGACGTTCATAGGTAAAGCAACTTTTGGTTGAGTTGCCATTGCTTTTCGGATCTACATTGAAATTTGGATTATCGACGTAAGAAAACAAAAATTAATATTGCACTGCATGTTACGCGCATAACGACTGGTTGAGGCGTAAGAGGTCACAAGCACATAGAGGCTATTACATTATACTGAACTTTAAAAAATTGTTCAACTTTAAAAACTGCTTTTTGTTTTGTTGGAATAAATAATAAAATTCTAGAGCAGCCTTCTATTCTTCTGAAAAGCTTGAGTGATAATATATAAAGCTTTCGAGGCTAATTACATAGAACTTCGACAAATACGATCATCGTTACTTTAATTATTTTGCTGTGAATGCTTACCGTTCCGTACAATGTTATGCGGTCTTTTAATAATTGTTGCATTGTTGAATTGAATTAGTGGCGATTTATCACTTGCTAGGGGCGGGTCGTTTTACAGAACGACAATTAGTCAAAAATAGTGACTTCTTAATGTACCGTACATATTTTCAATCGACCCTTTTGTGAAGTGCGCCAACGTTCTACAAAGTTCGGTGAAGTAATTGATTTCACAGGAGGATTTTTAGGACTAAGATTATGATAACGTATATAAACTATGGGCTGCACTTAAACACTACTTCATCGGTGTGAATTTCGATAAAACTGTTGAAGAAAATGCAATTTGATGGTGTCATTAAAAACGTATTTACTTGTTAAGGTAGGTTTGGCGCAAGTTTAAGTTCAATTTGTTTCCTTCTCGTTTACTCTCGAATAGACATCGTCTTATGCCTTTGTTTTTACTTTCATCTCAGTGCGTTTTAGTGAGTAGTGATAGCCCCGGAAAGTGAGCCAGTTGACTCCTTTACAATAAGGGGCTTCGGGGCCATTGAGGTACAATCCGTTCAGATTGGACATATGGCAGTTGTTGTACCACCAGGCTCCCTTGTAGTATTCGGTACAGTTGAACACGTGATGACTATGATCATTGTCTTAGTCTTTCGTAGAGAACTGCATATTGCTGAAATGAAATGAAATTTCATATAAACTTGTTTGTATCATGGTTAAACATGTGGAAGATGGTTACTGTTAATAAGAAACTTAGTCTGCAAATTGCTTTTATATACGTATTACTTCAATAAATTGCAAAAAGTCAACAGACATAAACACCAGGGGACACAGACAGACCGACAAAGTAAGATCTAAGTGTTTTGGCGATTTAAGTTTTGTATTTAACCGAATTTTTTTTTCACAGTCAGCGATCTATAATTAAGAGAATGCACCTTTTCTACGCAACGCGGACTAGATTAAATCAACACAGGACGAAATCACATGTTTCCGTATTTCTGAAACGTGGCGGAAACATGCAACTCCATGTTTCCGTTATGTTTACGTAAAAGTGGTCCGGTTCCGTTGTATACGCAGCAACGGAAACGCGAGAAAACGTCACGAAACCGGTAACGGAAACACAGGTTATCCGTCGTGTTTCCGGAACAGTTTAACATGTTTCTGCCACGTTTCCGTTTACGGATTCTTGCAATTTCGTCTTGTGCAACCTCTCATCTCGGGTTTGATCGCTGCGAAAAGACATCAGATTTAAAGTATCGCCGACAAGTATTATTTACAATTACAAGTTTATCAGGATAGTTTCTTTGAGGCTCAAGAAAGTCTTCCTTTATTTTTTCAGTTCATCACATTTTTAAAATCAGCTTAAGGAAGTTGCAATGGGTTTTTAATTTGATCGCACCAGATCTGGACGCTAACATAGCACGAGCTTTAAAGACGTCAAACATGAAAAAAAAAATAAGGTGGCTCGATAAGATTGCACGATTGTTATCTAAAAAGGTCTATAAACAGTATAAAACGATAGAGTTTTTTACAATTATCACTTATTATTTTGCAAAGCACATACAGTTCATATCAAGTATTTGTACATTTTACATAAAAGAAAAATATGAGATTTCTGGCAAAACCGTTGAAGTGACATTGAGTTTTCACAGTTGGAAAAGATCAGGCAATAGCCTTATTATACTGCGGCAAAAAATATACACATTTCATTGAGGAAAAATAGAGATATTGGGCTATTTAGGCCATCAATTGGAATACCAATTATATATATATCGTTAGCCAAACTGGTTAATTTCTTTAAGGAAACTTTGATATGATTAATTTAAGTAGGTTTCCTTTTGTAGTTTTCGCCCTAGTTTATTCGTAAATACTTGCGGGAGCTACCTTAAATTGTCAACTTTTAATTCATCTTTTCGAAAAAACTTATTCGTTCAATCCGGTCAAAAGTTTAATCTTTCGCTAAAACAGTTCTATGGTTCCGTTTTCCGCCGTTAATATTGGAATTTTAGTAACGAACGCGTTAATGCTGTTGCTTTTTTGTTGAAAATGGGGTTTAACACTGTGAGAGAGAAAAACAACCTGGCAACCTGGCAGTTTTTGTAATAAGCATAACTTATTTACATACTCTTGCGATTGTAGAGTGATTCGAAATTTACATTAAGGGAATGATTAGTGATACAATCAAGTTTGAGGTTTCTTTTGGCGAATATGAAAGCTCTCCAAATGCAAATCCAATCTAGCACCGATAGGTAGTTAACTTTCTTTGAAAAGGGAAATTCAAACTAAACTTGGAAATTGAGGCTTTTCTTACTGTAATGGCCGTGGCCTTGCGGTCATAGAGTCACCAGCCGTGCCTCTGTATCCTCCAATCGAAAGCTGGTACTTAGCACCCTCATCTGCCACCTTAAAAGTCGTGTACTCAGCGTAAGCGAGGATGCATGCCTTTAAGGTCTTCCATGTCAACTTTCAGCATAACGTCATCAGCGACTATCAAACGGTGAAGATTGTCGTTTCCAAGCCAGAACTCGCCGCTCAAATTTCCAAAGCCGTTTTTGTAAGATTCCCATCCAAGATAGAAATCAACAGAGCCGTCCAAACGTCTCTGAAAAACGGTCCAACCTCCACCATCCGTTGTCATGTCACACAACACTTGGATTGGGTTGCCGCGATCAGGATTAATGGTATATACGCCACTGGACATCCAGCCATCTCGAAAAACTCGGTGCAGCTTATTCGCTCTAAAATAACCATATTTTCACCATCAATTATCAACCAAAGTTTTATCATTGGTGATGGCGTCATGTAAGTAACGGAGACTTAGCAAAAGAAAAATATAAAAGCAAACAAAGTTTATCAGTCGGCTCACTTTTTCCCAATCATAAACGATAGAGCTAAAAATCTTGCAATAAGTAACAAACCTAGATAATAATAGTAAACATTACTTTATATTCTAGTTGGAAGAAATAAATATTCACCTTCACATAGAAACCCATCGCCTTTATATCCATCCTTGCGCCGGCAGCTGTATGACCCTTCAGAATTGTTACATATGGCGTTCACGTGACAGGCATGGTTTCCGTCTGTGCACTCGTCCAAATCTACGGAACATTAATCTACTTCCAGCATAACCGATCCGTTGAGTCGATAAAAATTAGTTTTGATATTTCCCCTCCAACCCGTGATTGATCAGGAGTGTTCCCCGAGTTTTAATTTCAATTTGTTACTCATTAACTCAAAATGCAATAAAGCTCTTTAAAAAAATTCTTTGAAAACCGAATAGGAAGTGATCACAGGATTATGTAGTGGGCAATACCAAACTTATTACACTCATTCACCTGTTTCGCACTTGTCTCCAGTAAATCACAGTAAACAAACGCAGATGTAGGTTTCGTGTTCAAAATCTGAATAACATCGTGAGTTTGGAGGACACTGTGCGGTACCACATGGATTCTTTAATAATATGCGGAAGAAAATAATGCGTAAATTAAACTAAAGATCCAACTTGTTTTGGTTTTACGTAAGATGTTAAGAAGACAAAGACCTTTAAATGAATAAATATATCAAAGAGAGAAAAGATGGACATAAACTCCTTTATAGGAGTGAAGTTTCTAATTGAATTTTGGCATATACCTCAGAGCTATTAAATTTACATAACGTCTAACCTGGCCCGATCGGCTCTCCGTGCGCTTTAATATGACCATAATTCACTGTTTTAAGCAAGTTTACAACTTGAAGCAGGCAACGACAAAATACAGCGTTAGCGAAATTTCTTGACGTAAAATCAGAACGTAAGCTACTATATGCAATTTCCATCGCTGTTAAGAGGTTTTTCCGAGGTTTGCGACGTTTTGAGCCAAAATTTTGTGGCCCAAAAGTCAAGAAATTCATCTCTATTAAGTGCCGCTCCCGCTAAGAGCGGTCCTCTCGACTTCCCGTCACAAAAAAGGTTTCTTTTATTTTTTGCCCATGAAAAGGGTTTAGGACACATGTTTCAAAAATAGTTTAGTTGTTCTCCAATTCTCTTTTTTTGCGTCGCCACAAGCCAAAAATGATTTTTGGCCAGACCACCCCTGTGGACAGCAATCGAAAGTTTAAATTTAAAAGATTTTGTTCAGCGTGCAGCGACTGCAACAATGTAGCTCACGGAATTCTATCTTGCTGCAAGTTACAAGGTGTAGTCAGTTAGTTCACAGACAAAATATGGAAACTTCAGCTGAAATATTTTTCATACCAGCGTGATCAGAGGAGACCCTTCTCTTCGACCTTAATTTGCATATCAAAAATTCACTACTTTGTACACAGGCGGCCCAAGCTCCAGCTGTGAGACGATCATCTTACGCAATAACGGTCATGGCGGAATTATAAGAGTTTGTATAGGAATATTTACGAGCGCTCTAAGGAATAAAAAAATACGTCAAATTCTCAAAAAAAAATACCTCACCTCGCTTCCACAGCGTATTGCTTGTTATCTGACCGCTTACTTTGATGAAAAGAGCCCATTTGAGCGAGTTGTTCATTTCGAGGTTTTCAACGTACATAAGAAAAGCCCAAGGCTGAACACTCCATTTCCGAACGCCTGATCCGAGAAGCGAAAAATCCAAGCTCAAAATGACCAGGCGGCCACAAATCTAACACAGAATCCAAGCACACATACTGTAGTCTCATTTCAATTCACTACAAACTCAATCTTCCCCGTGCAACCGACGCTAAGCCGCAGCCTGTGGTCGCATCAGTTACATCGCTATTACGTTCCCATTGCATTATCAAGGCATTGTTCACAAGGAATCGTTTGTAAGGAATCTAGGAATCAATGGTAGCGTGTACAAGAATTTCAGTAAATTAAACTAAAGTTGTGTTTACATAGTACGGCTCATCGGTTTGCAAGGTCCTGAGGCAGTTCTGCCGCCTCAACGACATGTCACGTACACGAAATACGAGAATCGAACGAAACCTCTACCTCCCCCTGAAATCTTACTCTCCCTGGTCCCATGTATAATCAACCATCTCACGAAATGAAATGCGATAGCATGCTAATTATTTTATATTCCCTCAGCAAAAGACTTAAAGAACTTTACAAAATGAACTAACATGTTACAAAAAATAATACATTGGGAATCATACATAGGCGCGCGTATATATGGAAGTTTTTGTAATCATGATTCAAAGCATTTTCCACCTTAAGAGTCAGCGCCAACGCACACTACGATTGTTATTCGAGGATTGTCGATCCATTTATTTGCATTCATTAATGAGGTCGGATTTTCTTCCCAAAAAAGGGCTATTGTGTTTATATGATAAACAAAATAATACATGGTTGCTTGTAGATATGGAATTTCTCTTCTCGTGTTCAACTTGATATCTCACTCGTTCACTGCGCTCACTCGTGAGCTATCGAGTTAAACACTCGAAGATTAATTCCATATCTACGCGTGCCCATGTATTATTCCCTATTTATTATTTTTTGTAACTTGTTAGTTCATTTTGTAAAGTGGTGGTTTTAGGTGGTTGTAGGTGGTTTTAGGTGGTTTTAGGTCGTTCCTTGTTTTAGTACTTACCGGCAAAATGAAGCAAATAAGCATACACACAATAGATCGGAACCCCCCGCGTGACTCAGACAAAACATTGCATATCACTCAAAGGAGTTAGTCACGTTTTGCTACTCTATATCGACAAAGTGTGTCCCACTTTGAAGTCTTGTACAGCTTCTTAAATGATGTTTGCCCAATGGAGAGGATTAACCATTGAAACTTTGGAGAATCTGTCGGTGCAGCGTAATCATTTAATGGCCCTGAGTCACAGTTCACTCCATTATTATCAATAAATTGTTTTAGAACCACGGGTCCCCTCAGGTCGAAATCGATCGAGAGGCTATTGTTTTATCCTAAATTAAAAGAAATAAGTATCTACAAGGGCACTTGGCAAGAAACACATAGACAAAGTGCGAAATTTAGCGTAGCCGGCAACTAAGAATAAAGTGAATACTTACATGGCTGAGCGACTTGTTCTATTGTGACTCACATTCTCGTGCGGACGAAGCGAAATAACTGTTGTCTTGTTGGCAGAATTCAAATAGGTATGTCCAGATAGAACTAAATTGAATACTGGTATAAATCCTTGCCAGGTTTTCCTCTGACTACGAAAATAATCACACATTTGTAAACATTTCCGAAGGCGAATTCGATTGGCCGATCGAAACAATAGCTTCTTGATCGATTTCGACCGGAGGGGACCCGTGGTTCTAAAACAATTTATTGATAATAACTGACGGTGTGGTCCCCGGCGAGGCTCAGTTTGAAAAGGAGGTAGGGTTTCAACGGTCGTGTGTCAAGGTTGATGTGGTCGCGGGCTGTTAGAAACCTCTAAACTAGAAATTTTTGAAGCAAACTGCGGCTTAGCGTCGGTTGCACGGGGAAGATTGAGTTTGTAGTGAATTGAAATGAGACTACAGTATGTGTGCTTGGATTCTGTGTTAGATTTGTGGCCGCCTGGTCATTTTGAGCTTGGATTTTTCGCTTCTCGGATCAGGCGTTCGGAAATGGAGTGTTCAGCCTTGGGCTTTTCTTATGTACGTTGAAAACCTCGAAATGAACAACTCGCTCAAATGGGCTCTTTTCATCAAAGTAAGCGGTCAGATAACAAGCAATACGCTGTGGAAGCGAGGTGAGGTATTTTTTTTGAGAATTTGACGTATTTTTTTTATTCCTTAGAGCGCTCGTAAATATTCCTATACAAACTCTTATAATTCCGCCATGACCGTTATTGCGTAAGATGATCGTCTCACAGCTGGAGCTTGGGCCGCCTGTGCTTTGTACGAAAGAATTCTCAAAATGCAGGCATTAATCGGGCTGAAAAAGTATATCAGTGCATAGTTTATACACCAATTAGGTCACAGATTGCCTCAAACCCGCGGGTATAGATTCCATCCACCATGGCCAACTTCTTAAAAACAGCGCAAATCCATGTGTTTGTTCAATTGCGCTCGTGTCAACGATCATTTGTATGATTCTTAGAATTGGCCAGGATTTCCTTTTGACCATTCAAACTTCGTTCGTTTATCTTCTATGTTGAGGATTTTAGGTTTTTACAGCAACTGAATGGAGATAGGTGCCTACTTGTCCTAAAACGTTGCGTAAACGTGATCGGTCGTAACGCTCGCGCGCTTGCGTGACTTACAAAGTAGACAAAGGTGGTCTGAAGGCGCCCTCTCGATAATTTACGTTGAAATATCAGGTCATGAACTACGCAAAGTGGAGAAGATTAAAATTAAAGAATAAAATTTGGCACTCTGGTCATAACTGACATATCGCGTTGCTTCAAAGGACACAAAAACAAGTTAAAGTAGGTTACAGTGTTTATATCTACCAAACAACACGCATACACTCTAAAACAATTCTTGCAGTTTCTCCCGAGATTTAGTACACGGAACCCGATGAACTAACCCTCCTTTCTGCAAATTTGTTTCCGTCATTAATGATGTTACGCTCTTATGGACCACAACGGTCTTGAGCGACAAACTCGACATTTCCCTGCGACCATCAAAATCAACTGGACAAACCCAGCTTGATATATTGCGTGACATGATGGTGCAAACTTTTCTATTCGTCATACAACCTGTTTCGCAGGTTCTACAAGTTGGAACCAAAATTAGTTGATGTAACGAATTAGAATCGAAAGTTATTCAAATGGACTGAAGAATTTTAC